GTGGGCAGGGGAGGAGATAAGGAAAGGAGGAAATTCCAGAGACCATAAAAAGAACAGGCCAAAACTCCCCACGGACTCCTGACTCGGGGCCCTTCTCTTTGGAGAAGTCTGTGTCCCCTGCTTTTGCATCACCCTGCTGCTTGCTTGCTGACCGTGTCCTGCTCTTCAATTCTTTGCTGAACAGAGACAATGAACCCAGCACCCCTACATGTATCTTAATTTATCAGTCCCCCTCAGACCAATACTTAATTTCAGTACAATATTGAAATTATGCTCCATTTTCCTTCCTCCTCTTTGTGTGGACACTCACCCCTCAGTGTCTGCTGGGGTCCTGTCCCTCCTCCTAGATGCTTTGGTCGCCTCTAGATCACGGATGTATGTATGCAGTACAGTTGCTGCTCATTTTCAGATGTTTTAGAACATGGTTGATGGAGTCCTCAGAAGCAAAACCCATGGATAAAACAGTAATAACTTATTGTCCTCAGAATTGTCTTAGGTCTTTTTAAAACGTCAGCAGAGAAACGTGTTCCTAGGCACCTGTATATTAATCCACATGAGTGTTGTTCTGAGCACTTTTATTTCTTCCTATAGATCCAAGTGACTGCCTGGTAACTATGTGGTGTCTGTGCCTTCCTCCAGGGTAGCTTCAGACACCATTAACACTATGTTAACCGTTCACGTGTTACCATCCCAGCCTTACAGCTTTATGGTGGTTTTCTTTAAACTCAGCTAAGAGGAAAATATTTCTACATCTACCTAAGCCCTCACCTTCACTGACCATTTCCATCTCTTCATGCGGATCGAGCCAGGGGACTTGTGTCTCTCCCTTCACCATCTGCGACTCTTGCTGCACATGTGTTGGTGTGGCTGATGGTTCCCCAGGTCTGGGCTCTTTTCAGCTTTAATCAACCCTTTTTGTCTTCCTTTTTCAGTCTGCAGCCATATTGATGGATATGACTTAGCTTTTCAACACTGTGACCAAAACACCTAACACAGACAACTGAGGTGTGCAGGATTCAGCTCATATGTTCAGGGGTTCATGCTGTAGTTTGTGTCATTGCTCTGGGCCTGAGGTGAGGCAGGGCATCATGGTGGAAGGGTGTGGCGGAGAAGGCTTCTCAGCTATGGAATCAGGGAAGGAGAGAGAGAGGCCTGGAGAGGATGAACCCTTCGAGGGCAGCCCCGTGACCGACATCCTCCAGGCCAGGACCTGAGCCCAGTGATCTACTTAGCCATCCATGGATTCATTCGCCCTGAGGCCTTGGTTCTCACGATCCAGTCTCCCTTAAAGCCCTCCTCTGTGCACTGGAGACCGAACCCGGAAGCCTGCGGGTGTCTAAAGCCTCAGATGGAAACGGCCACACTGCCTTTGGGAAGACAGCAGAGTGCTCCTGAAGCTGGGAGGGCGGAAGGTCGTGGCACAACCTTCACCCGTGCTGAAAGAAACTTGTACACCATGAAATCTGTGTCTGTGCTGTCTGAGAGAGAAAGGAGTAGTCAAGACATTCATAAAGTAACCTCAGATAACTTTTCACTAGTAGAACCACCCTCAATAATGCCTAAGGAAAATTAGAAGAAGAAGAAGGAGGAGGAGGAGGAGGAAGAGGAAGAGGAAGAAGAGGAAGAAACATGGAAAAGAACATGGCAGGAAGAGCAGCCAGAGGAGCAGAGATATGAGAAGATGCACAAGCTACTGTCCCATGAGCTTCGTGAAACAGTAACACACACCTGGAACAGATTCAAAGGCAAGGAGGATGTTGACATGTTCCCATCAGGAGTCTCTCTGTCTAGCTCTATCTATATCAATATGCAACAGAAGCAATTTCAAAAAATCAAATTCTTGAGCTGAAAAACACACTCAGTGAAATTAAAAGCATGATAGAAGGCATCACTAGTATAATAGATCAAACAGAAGAGGCAGTGAGCTCAAAGACAGGTCTCTCAAAAAGTCACCAAGGAGAAAGAAGGACGAGGAGGGAAGAAAGCTCCTTTTTCAGACTGCAGCCATATCGATGGATATGATGGGAAGTTTGGGGAGGTCCTGAGAGTGCACATGGCTGACTTGGGTCAGGAAGGACTTGAGAAAGCCATGAGAACGTGGAGCCAACTCAGAGAAAGAGCAGAAAGCTCCCCAAGTCTAGAGAAGGTCACAAACCTGAACCCAGTCCACCCCAAGACCTGAAAGACAGGAAGGTTCTCCAAGGCACAGGAAAGTGAGCACAGGGTGCCAGGTTGGCCTGCAGCAGACGGCAGCAGGGTGCACATCAGAGCCCAGGCACCACCCGCTGAGAACATGGTGCTCCAGAAATGAAGTGATGCTTCATGTATTTATTGGCCATTCACATTTCTTTGTTGAGACGTATCTATTTGAATCACCCATTTTTAAATTGGATTTTTTGTTTTTGTTAAATTTTTTTAGTTCCTTATATATTTACATTTTAAATATCTCTATATAAAGCTATTTATTTTGTATATTTATATGTAAAGCTATCCTTTAGAAATGAAGGAGCAAGAAAGACATCCCAGACAAAAGACAAGAGGATGTATTTCTGCCAGGTCTGTTTTATAAGAAATGCTAAAGAAATTTTTTCAAAGTAAAAGTGATGTTACTGTATAAGGAGAAAACATGGCAAAGTGGTAACACAAAAATATATAAGGAACTTAAAAATTTTAACAACAAAAGAACAAATAATCCAATTTAAAATGGGTGAATAGACACTTCTCAATGAAGAAATGCAAATGTCCAATAAATATATGAAAAATGCTCAATATCTATGTATCAGCAAAATGCAAATCAAAACCAGTGTGAGACAGCCTTTCACCCCAGCTGGAATGGCTATTATCCAAAACACAAAGTAACAGTGCTCATGGATGAGAGGGAGGGGCACACTGTCGGTGGCGCACAGAGGCCCCTCAAGGAAGTCAGAGTGCAGTGCGCATCGCAAGGACACCGCGAGCTCCTCCAGAGACCCCCCACGCTCAGCTCACTGCTGCCCTGTTCACAGTACTGATGTGTGCATAGGTAAGGAGCCCATGTGCTGGTGAGGAGTCAAGAGGAAGGGATACTTGTGCATAATGGGTATCATGTGGCCACAGAAGAGTGAAATCCTGTCACTTGCAGGAAAAGGAATGGGTGAAAGTGGAGGAGGTTAGGTAGCAAAACAAGCCAGACACCGCCATGTCAAGGTGGAAGCAAAAACCACAATGCTGACCTGAAAGTAGATGAGTGGTTCCCAGGGATCCTGAAGGGCACGGGGCGGGAGTGGACAGAGAGCAGCTGAGTTTCCCTGGTGTGTCACACTGGTGTTAAAGCACTGTACTTAACCCTAGAGGTATGTGCAATTGGTACATGAAGCAAATTAAAATCCAAAGGAAAACATGGGAAGGTATAAAACTCACCTCTAAAAATCATCATATGAACAAATTCAGATTGCTCTAATATTGTCAGTGTGGTACATGGACCATTCATGTATCTAGTATGAAGATTCAAAAACAACACACTTCAAAATAATAACTACTCCACTGTGTTAGAAACAGGTAAGATGGAAAGATGTGAACTGAGATCTCAGAGTGGACGTGTGGGGAGGCTTGGAGGGCAGGCGTGGGGTTCGGTGGTCTCCTGTTCTTTGCTCTTTTGTTTTGACAGTGTGTAGCCATCAGCACGTTGGCTACAGGAGTCGTGGGTTTGCTGGGAGGTGCCCACACGGTACACCCTCCTTCCGTCCTCTCCCCAACCTACTTTGCCATCCCTGGTCTACTTTCAGGTCATTTTCTTTAAGTTTCCACATAGGAGAGAAAACAGTTCTTGTCTTTTTTGAGTCTAGATCCTCTGAACACAGTGTTCTCCAGCTCCATCGTTCCCTGCACATGATGGGATCTCACTCCTCTTAAAGGCTGAGTACCACTCCGTTGAGTGGATAAGCCTCACTTCCACATCCACCATCCTTGAGGGGATGGGCGGGTCCCCTAGCTGGGCCACATGAACACGGCAGCAGTGAACACGGGAGTGAGGCACCACTTTGCATGACCTTGCCTCCTTCAGATAAGCAACAAAGACTGGGACAGCTGGGTCACGAGCAGTGTGTTCTGAGTCCTCTGAGAGCTGTGGACAGTTCTCCAGGTGGCTGCACTAATCCACACTCCAGCTGCGGGACATGGTGCCCTTTTTTCTCTGTGCCCTTGCCACATCTGTTATTTTCTGTTCATTTGGTGATGACCACTCTAACTGGGGTGAGAGGGAATCTCACTGAGGTTTTGATTTGCATTTCTCTGGTGACTGCAGGTATTGAAGAGTTTTTTTTTTAATGTGTTTATGATCCATTTGTATTTCCTCTTTGAAAAGTGTCTATTCAGATCATTTACCTTTTGGGGGCAGGAGGTTGTGGGATTTTGGTTTGTTTTTGGTGCCAAGGATTGAAACCAGAGGTA